TCAAGTATGCATAGGTAAGTTTACGTACTAGATGAAGCTAGTACGTAAACCTACATACCTATGCATACTTTTTTAAAAAGAGTAACGAATGGAGTTTCTTGCTCGTTCTTCTCCATTCGAATCTACATTTTGGAATGAGCACCTAGCTTCACCTAGCTTGACTGAGGGACTGACTGACAGACTATTATTTATTTTATATTTGTTGACGTATCAAAAGTACCAAATTATGGTTTAATTGAAATAAATGCTTTGACTTTGACGTAATGTAAGCGACTTGACTTATAGTCCTATGTTCCCTAGATCGGGCAGAGGCTGCTACCACGCCTGGTTTGCCAAGGACGGCCACGCTACCTTTTTCCCTGGGGATTCCAACCAATCCACGACTTGCTTAGTAATATGTCGCTAGCCCTTCGGAGCGTATAGCCTATCCATCCGTACTAGCGACGTTAAATCTGACTGTACCTAAGTAGGTACCTACATAATATTTGTTAGCAAATGCTTAATAGTTTCTCGATAACTTCAAAGGCACTTTTAAACCTATGTACGATATATGCCTACGTAAGGTATTGATGGATAGGAGAGTAATGACTCGGTAGGAATGAGCCAATTCGACCGAAGTGACTTTGACTTTGAATTTGAGTGAGGTTGCGGAAGGCCAATCCACTCAAAGGCCACGCACTGGTATCAATGACCTTCTCACGGTTGCTAATTTAATAGAAGCGCCTGCCAAAAAAATCATGCGAGTTACTTAGCTATGGATTGTATTGCTAAGTGTAAAAGATTAGGTGTAGGCAAACGATAATCTACATAATTATAATTCTTAACACAGATTTACATTTAAACATCTTAAAATATAGTAACATATTTATCTCATCACTTCGAGTTGAGAGCATTGATGTAATCGCAGGAACAGATTAGGTAGGTTTATCACGAAAACACAAGTAGATGCCTACATACTTAGATATTAGTACCAAGATCTGAATACGTTTTACCATTATAAGATAAATGATGCTATAACATTTTCGTTAGGCAACACAATACCTGCAACAACTTTATTTTGGGCGTTTGTAAATTACTAGATGGCGCTACTTATTATTATAAGATTAATATAAACGTACTTTTTCTGTTTTATATAATTATATATAGTTTTTTGTGAATGAGACTTTTAAAGTTTTGACCCTGAACTCAGCTTGCACTTTATCGGTATTTTAAATTTATATTTTTTGGTACTCACTTTCACTGACCTATTAAAAGGAACCACCTTTTAATAGGTCAGTGATTATAGGGATTTACATTTTTGTGTAAGCCACTAATTTCAATGAACACATAACATAACAAGTATTTTATCCCCGAAAGGATAGGCAGAGGTGTACATTATGCCACTGTACAATGTAACACCCACTTTTCGCTATTTATGTTATGAGTCCCATGTAAGGGGTCAAAAGGGTGAGCCTATTGCCATACACCGGGCACAATTTCAGACTCCGTGCTACCACTGAGAATTTATAAAAAACCCAGTACTTTGCCCGACCCGGGAATCGAACCCGAAATCCCTTGCTCGGCAGTTGCACTTGCGACCACTCGGCCAACGAGGCAGTTTAATTTCAATGAGGAATGATAAATTATATCTATATTAATATTATACCTAAAGAGGAAATATTTGCACCTATTTTTGTATGTTTGTAATGAATGGGCTCAAAAAGTACTGGGCCGATTTAAAAAAATCTTTCACCAATAGATTGCTACATTCTTCCAATTTGACATAAGCTACATTTCATTTTGAAAAAAATTAGGGATCTTTGGTAAAATTTGAACAATGTAACCGAAGGTGTAGAAAAATGAGTCTTAAAATGTCTTTCGTCGAATGCGCTGCCGAAACTATAAGCGATAGAACAAAATAATGTACAACAATATTGAAAAACATCATAATGTCTACAAAAAAATCCGAGGTAGCATATGTCCAACTATTGTAGTTATGTCACTACAACAATCCAAATTTCCAAAAATAAATAATTGTCTACCCCGTGCGAAGCCGGGACGGGCTGCTAGTCATATACCTCTATAAAATTTAATCATAATAACCTATCACACCTACTGTTCTGTCTCTGCATCACCCCATGGTTGACTGTTAGAGATCATGCCCCCGGGAATCAAGTCCACCATCGTATGTTATATACAAAAGTGTAAATAAATAAATAAAAAAAGTACATACCTACCTTTTTCTTCGACATAGGCAAAGTCACGGGCATAATTTATTCTACCTAACATGCAGACAATGATTAATATGCCGGATTCCACGTGTTGTTAGATGGCAATGACGTCAGTAGACGTAATAAAAAAAAAATCGGGTTAAAAAAAATTTTAGAAATTGTTAATCCGAGAACCAGTATTTTATTAATAAGTTTTGACGTAATAAATGATTCGAATATTTTTTTGTTTTTACCTACAGCTCGCTGCCGTTGCAGCGGTAAGTCCCTCTTTGAGGAGTGGCTTGAGATAAGGATATTTTTTTTTAGGGATTTTTTTTAATCTTTTTTTAAGGAAAGTCATCGAATGACTGCTCCCGCCTGGGTGTGGCGGGAGGGAGTGTCAGACTCTTACTGACCAAAAACCACCCCGTTCCTTCTCCTGCACGTCGAGCCGGAGCCCCGGTTACCTGTTAGGTTCTCCCGTTCTCCGCGACTCCGGTTGAGATACGGATACGCCGATACGGAGCCGAGGAAGACTAGGTTTGAAGATAATTTGTACCGAGTCACACACTATTTTTCTTGATAAAGAGGGTCGTTCGGGGTAAAGACCCCTGTCTACAAAAGTAGACAAAAATAGAAACCTCGAGTACCTATATAGAGAAAGGGTAGTGGCAGAATATAAATTACAATAGATTTTGATACAAATGTAATAATTGTATTTAAAATTTACACACAAAAATGTACCTACTTATTTACCAACGTATGTACGTATTACGTAATATTATCTATTACGTGTAACGAAAACACCTACTTCATACTAAACTTTATTTGCAATTAAAATTCGTTGTTCACAAGTTTTTTCATTATTGTAATTGATATAATGAAGTTACTAATAATTTATAATTTAATTCAAAGACTATCACTAATTTATATGTAGGTACACACTACACAGAATAATAATTTTGTGCTACCATAAATTGTACCCCAATCTTGATTACAATATTTTTGGTGTTATACCTAATTCGGATTACCTAAACATGACAACATAAAGAATGATATAAGACAAGTAAGTATTGCTGTCATCGATGTGTGTACGGCTGCTACGCTAAAAGTGAGTTCGATTCTCACTTCGCCCAATCACATAGGTAATCAAAGTCAAAGTTCAAATCATTTATTTCAATTAGACCCGAAACGCCCTTTAGAACGTCAACAACAAATTAAAAGTAAAGCTACTAATTTGCTCATCCCAAGTTGTAGATTCCTATGGAGAAGACCGGGCAAGAAACTCCATAGGTTACTCTTTTTTAATTAGGTTCACAATACAATTCTCTAGTTATATAGTTTTGCTGTTTGGATTGTGCGAGAACAATGTAACACTAAAATCCAGTCAAAGTGATCGAAAAAGACAAAATGGCAGTTGAGATCATCATTCAATAATCCAGTCTGTCCTAACAACCTGACAGGGGATTTTTATTTGTTTCGTGGGGTATCTTATACCTTAGAGTACTTTTTTTTTAAGGGGGGAAATCATCGTATTACTGCTCCCGCCTGGGTGAGGCGGGAGGGAGTGTCAGACTCTTACTGACTAAAAAGCACCCCGTTCCTTCTCCTGCACGTCGAGCCGGAGCCCCGGTTACCCGTTAGGTTCTCCGCGACACCTTAAAGTACTAGTTGTATAATTTCATACATTTTTCATGACTAGTATTTTTTAAAAGGGGGGAAAATCATCCAATGTCTTTTCTAATCTGGGTGAGGGAGTGTCAGGCTCTTACTGACTAAAAACCACCCACCTAAAGATTTGAACCTTTAATTTGAAAGCGAAACGAATTACTTCAATGAATCTCCTTTGACAGTTTATTGTACCGATGTTAAAATAATCACAATAATTACGCTCGCTTAGGTATGGTAAATATTCACATATTACCGAGAAATAAACAACTCAATAGTATGTCGTCAGTCTGTCTGTATGTTTGGTTGTCTAGATGAACCAATTTAAATGAGAGAATTTTATTTTATAGTAATGAAATCAGCAACATTTCTTTGCGTGTAATCTATAAGCAAAGCTCAAAATCATAGAAATACCATAGGACAACACAGATAACATTTTATTTTATACTAGCTGCCGCGACTTTGTCCGCGTACAATATGAATTTTAAAACATAACATAATTATTTGTTTCAATTTCCCGAAATAAAAGTGGCCTATAACACTCCTTCGTACATTAGCTGCCTGTCTTGCAAAATCGGTCCAGCCATTCCAGAGATTAGCTAGTATAAACAGACAGACATACAGACAAACAGACAAAAGTAGTAAAAAACCTTATTTTGGTATGTGTATTATAAGTATATTCAAATGCATGTAGTAAGATGCGTTATTAAAATAACCCCAATCTGTTGATAGAATAATTACGCGCCACCATAATAATATAGAATATATATTATACGCTATACCTTTATGCCGTCGCGGAGAACCTAACGGGTAACCGGGGCTCCGGCTCGACGTGCAGGAGAAGGGACGGGGTGGGTTTTAGTCAGTAAGAGTCTGACACTCCCTCCCGCCTCACCCAGGCGGGAGCAGTCATTCGATGATTATCCCACCTTAAAAAAAAAATACTTCGATGGATGTTAGTATTTTATCACAATTAAATTTTAAAAAGTTATTAATATTATCTAACAAGATAGTTATAGGTACTAAAAAAAATAGACAACGAGCAAACCTACGTTAAATAACAAGTTAACAACAATCGAAACACAAGTAATTTATTATGTAAACTGAAAACAACAAAAGGTACCATTTCACGAAATACTTACACGAATGTCGGTTGTGGTCGTGTTACATTTTCATCGCGATTAAGGTGCTTTTGTTAGGTGGTGCAAGTACATAGTTTTTTAGTAAAATGCTGTGGCAATTACTGGCTGTGCTTCTTTTAGTCTGGTCAGTGTATAGGTGGCGCAACAGAAGAAAGTATGCCTTAGGCAATAAGCTGGCCAGGAAGATCATAGCTCTCCCGTTGATTGGTCACGCTTACACGTTCTTGGGGACTGATGAGGGTAAATAAGATTTATTTTTTGTTTTTAGCTTTTTAGATGAAAATTGGGTTAGATATTTTTGTAATAACTGTCGTGAGACATACTACTCCAGGATGTTGAGTGACGTTGCCGTGACTATGCACGCTGCTCATGAGGATGAGTCCTTCTGTGACCCGAAACTAGTAGAGCTTTTCTCAATATATTTACGTGAATAAACCGTTATTGTTAGTTAATTCAGATTAGATATTCTCTATCTTTCTGTTTCTCTGAACACTTTTCTTCTTCACTTGTTTCTGTTCCTAAAGCCGATTAGCTAGTTTTCGCCCTTTGTTTGTATAGTTTATAAAGTTTCAACATATTTCGATACTTAACGTAACTAACAAGATTGAAGATTGAAGAGTGTTTATGTGGTGTACAATAAGGTTCATTATGATAAACAAAAAATAATTCTTCTTTTGCATTTTAATTGGATAACGGACTCATAAATATGAATTTTGATGCAACGCACTCGAGACCTTTGATGTAGGATCATGAAATAAACATCATTTAACATGCCGTATTTCGCTTTTTAATGAAATATCTACAAGAAAAATATTACAACCGTGCGCTTCTCACGTAGCTTTCTGCCTCGCACAGCAAAACTGGAATAATCTGTCGCCGGCGGTATTCCCGAACCGATACGACCTTCAAATCTTTAAGAAAAGAGCGTATTCCTTTCTCAAAGGCCGGCAACGCTCCTGTGACTCCTCTGGTGTTACGGGTGTCCATGAGCGGTGATGATCGCTTACCATCAGGTGATCCATCTGCTTGTTTGCCTCCTATAGCATGAAATACGATCGTTTGTATATTTGTTTATATGTAGTTTACTCCTTTACGTCACGATCTGCGGTAGATTATGATCGCGAATAATATATAGAGGTAGACTACTTTTTAGCCCAGGGTAACGTGGGCCAAGCCGTTGACAGTAGCTTGTAGTCCATGTAGCTGTAATAATTTTATTCTTCTCTTATAATATCTTCTGATTCACTTCGTTGCGGGAACCAAGACAGTTATTCATGTTCCAGAGACGCGCCGGACTTCAGTGTTCCGATCTTTTCATGGTTCTATGGTTCTTGGTATCTACTGTAAACCTTGGCTTATAGGAGTTCCAGCGGTTTTGGAGGCAGTGGAGAGTTTGTCCTATTAAAAAAAATAGCTGTAATATTACCGTATTCATGATCGAACTAATGAATACAATAATTTGTAAGTTGCTAATTTGTAACCTGTTGAGTAATTACTTTTATGTTACTCAAACTACGTGTTACAATGACAGTGAACTATGTTAATGTACATACACCGCTCACGTCATGTTTTTCACTATAGTTACACAATTATATCATTCTAACATTGATTTATATTGTCCACAGTTAGTTTAAAACACTCTGTAGCGAACAAAAATATTTTTTATTATCAATTTTTTTAACAAATAGGTACCTGCAAATTAAAAAATAACAGGTTTCAATTCTGTTCTTATAATTTTTTATAAGTACCTACATATATAATTAGTCTCATGTATCTTTTGATTTATCTTATGATTTAGAATTTAATAAAACCATAAAACATAAAACCATTGTGTTGCTTCTTAAATTGAAGAAACCACATTTAATGTTTATTTTTCCACATAATCTTTAGCACAAAATTTTGATATCTAATACTGACGTCTAAACTTTAACAAACCACAGACTATTTGACAATTTATAGTAACCAATTCAAAATAAAAAAACCTACTTTCTTTACACACATATTTTCATAAATATAGGTACCTAAGTTTCATGAAAGAGCCAACAAGAAAAAGTATGAGTCAACCGATATGACCTTCAAACCTTCAAGAAAAGAGCGTACTCATTTTTAAAAGGCTGGCAACGCACCTGTAGCTCCTCTGGTGTTGCGGGTGTCCATGGGCGGCGCTAATCTTACCATTAGGTCATCCTTCTGCTCGTTTGCCTTCAATTTCATAAAAAAAAGAAAATAATATAATTATACACCACTGGCTTTTACGCCTAATGCAGTTTAAAAGATTACTCTTAAGTTGATCCCGACCCTATAAGAAATATAAATATATATGTATATATTTTTACTATTTGTTTGTTCGTTTGTTTGAATGCGCTAAATTCAGAAACTACTGATCTGATTAGAAAAAATAATTTTGTGTTGGATAGTCCATTTATTGACAAAGACTATGAAACATAACGCTACAATCAATGGTAGCTGAGCACGAGGAGTGAAACCGCGCGAGTATCTAGTGTTGATATAAAAAGTAGCGAAGCGTAGCCAACCGAAGGTTTTAAGAAAGAAATAATGTTTTCAAGTGTTTAGTTTCCTATAGAGCCTAATAAATGCAAGCTAACAAACATCAATACCTTTTTTATATTATAACTTTAGTGAGACAGAATTTTATAAAACCGATTTATTCAGGTAATAAATGGGTTTTGTTCGGGGAGTGTCGAGGAATTACATCAGTTTTACACTACGCTCGGGGCTGATATTCATGAGAAGCAGTGTGCTGTTTATTTAAGTTAGTCAGCAAATATTCAACAAAATCTTATCATAATAAAATATTGATTAGGTCTTTAACGTAATAATTATAATTTTATTTGTATATGTTATGTAATTATAACATTACAATATAATGTTAGACAACTTTTGTTAATGCATTATGTATTCTTTTTTCAGATCGTTTCAAACAGTTTGAAGCAATTGGGCGTGAGTCCTACGAGACGGGGGGCATCTTAGCACAATGGCAGGGACACTTACTCTATCTCAGTAAATATTAATCAAATATCTTGGTAAAGAATTTAGGAAACTGATTAATTGCTTAGCATTTCCGAAGCTCTTTTCCTAAAAAAATAAATGTTTTTTGACATCCGAAATAAGTTGTGTGCGTGAGCGAGTATGTATTTTTACGTTTAAATATCCATTTAATGCATGAAGCCAAATACAATGTTTATTATTAACAATTATTGGTAAGATTTCTTTTACGGATAAGTGAACTTTTTGCTATTATCCTGTTCTTTGATTAATGCGTGTCGTGGCAGCCTTACTTTCAGCCTACACTATACAATGTTAAAATATGTTAAAAACTTATCATATATTTTGGTGTATGCTTTGTTGGTTATTTTTATTTTTATATATTTGATGTGCCGACGTTTGGCCATTATCTCGCCTTAATTGTGGTAAGCGATGATGCGGCCTATTCCCTTTAGGAAAAATAGACTCTGGCAAAGAATTTCTTAGCAGTACGCACAAGGAAGCTTGATGCAAAGCGCTACGTGTGTGTGGGTGAGACATCTACCATGAATCGGTAACGCTTCGCCGATTGTAACATGATAAGTAAATAAATTATTATTATATTTTCGCAGTGGTAACAGAACCAGAAATAATAGAAGTAATCCTCAAGACGTGCTTGGAGAAAGATGACCTTATGAGGATGTTCAGAGTTCTGCTAGGAAACGGCAGTATTTTTGCACCTGGTAAGTTTAATTATAGTTTGACGGCAAGACATGATTCAAAAATTAATTTTAATCAATATCATTAACTCAATACAAATGTATGACACTTATCGCTCGAATGCTAAAAGACTACTCAATTTGGAGACGTGCTAAAGTACCTATAGTTCTGTCAAATTCTTCGTAAAATAACAACACGAGATAGCACGACATTTAAGTGGAACTTAAAATAGAGTGGCCTTAGTCGTGCATATGACGCTTAAATATCTGTAAAACATTTCTATTAATTGGACAGAACACATTGGAAAAATGCTTCCAGTGTGAATCCTTACTAGTCCTTACATCCTTACAAATATTATAAATCGGAAAGTGAGTTTGTTTGTTTGTTTGTTTGTTCCACTTTCACGCCGTAACTACTAAACCGATTGCTTTGAATTTTTGCAGACATAAAGTTAGAAGTCTGGATTAAATAATAGGGTACTTTTTATTCCGGAAAAAAATTATATTCTCGAGGAAAAACGAAATCATTGGTATAGATGGCGCTGTGTGTATATGTCACATAGGCTACTTTTTATCCTTTTGTGACGCGAGCGAAGCCGCGGGTAAAAGCTAGTAGTACATAATGAAACAATTATTTGTTTTTCCAAACAGTCTCAATATGGCGTCCTCGGCGAAAGATCTTGGCTCCGACGTTCAGCCAGAAGAACCTCAATTCATTCGTTGATGTGTTTGCCCGACAGAGCAAGGTCATGTCTGATCAGTTGCATATTGCTACACAGAAGGGACCTGTGTCTATGTGGAAGTACATCTCTACTTACACCATGGATTCTGTTTGTGGTGGGTACTTACCATTTTTTTAAGGGGGGAAAATCATCGAATGACTGCTCCCGCCTGGATGAGGCGGGAGGGAGTGTCAGACTCTTACTGACTAAAAACCACCCCGTTCCTTCTCCTGCGCGTCGAGCCGGAACCCCGGTTACCCGTTAGGTTCTCCGCGACTGGGTATTTACCATAACGTATTTATTTGATGAATTTTCCCGTTATTTGTCAGTAGGTAGTTAAAAAAGCATAGGATCTAGCAATGGGGGACCTTGTGTTTAAATGATGACGATATGCGATTACCTATCGACCAATTAGATATTTAGCTCTTGAATTCGAATCTCAAGTTGCATAAAGTTTTCTGAATCGCAATTTGCTATTGTCTTGTCTGTGTCTAGCTAAGCTTAAGAGCTCAGTAAATAACATGAGTAGGTACCTATTTATGAACAACAAAATGTTTATGCACCAACAGAATATTTCACGTAAATATTCACAATATAATTAGCCTTAATGTATTTGTTAGGTACAAATACATACATTAAATAGTTTACATACAATTAGAAGTACTAGCAAAAACAAGTACTTGTCTGCATTATATGTTGCATTTAATTAGAATTATTGTGAATTTACATACATAAAATACATACATTTCAATGAAGTACCTAACTACCTACGCCTCGAAAAAAAGTCATAGGTAGGTAAAGATTTCGGGTATTTTAAATATAACTGACATAACATATAAAGAAGATTTAGTTCATATCATATTAGATAGATATAGATTTAATTTAGAGATATTTTAATTCGTATTCGCTTTCATGTTATTTCTTTATTAGGTAGTAATTCTGTATTTTTAAAAGTCAGACAACGCACCTGTTGCTTTTCTAGTTTAATGGGTCAAAGTCAAAGTCAAAGCATTTATTTAAATGAAACCATGATTTGGTACTTTTGAAACGTCAACAAATATAAAAAGCTAATAGTCTGTCAGTCTGCCAGTCAGTAAAGCTAGGTATTCGTTACAAAATGTAGATTCAAATGAAGAAGAACGAACAAGAAACTCCATTCGTTACTCTTTAAAAAACGTTTTAGAATCTCTCTTATACATTATCCAATATTGTATGTGAGAACAATGTAAAGACATGTTTGAGGCGTTATATAAATTTCAAAACTTACTAAATAAAAAACAAAACAAAAATGTTTTGTATTTAATGGTGCTCACATATACTGATAATCCATAAAATTAGTGGGTGTCTATAGGTGCGGTGCGACTAATCGTGTACCATCAGACCTTACTACTTCCATAATCTTATCTTATTTGTTCTTTCAGAGACAACTCTAGGTATAAATATGAACTCCCAGCTGGAACCAGAGCTACCCTTCCTCCAAGCCTTTGAGAATTGCTGCCGTATCGATGCTAAACGTATTTGCCAACCCTGGCTGTACAACGACACAATAAACAAAATCTTCTGCAGAAGTGCCTTTGATTCTTATGATCGCAGTAAGAAGTTAATTTGGAAGTTCATGGACAAGGTATTAAAAAAATAGTATTATTATAAGAAATTATAGGTAAAAATTCAGCCTCAAATCGGCTTACCAGTTTATTATAACTGTTGAGTCTGTTTGTTCTACACTGTATCAGAGCATGATTGTGTGTACTGTGCATAAATAAAGGTACAATCTCATGCCAGTGATCTTAGTCTGTAGAGAGTCGACTATATTTCAAAGACCTAGTGCGAAACATGACACATTTTTAAGAAATTCTAATATCTTGTCTCAAAACTGTATTTTTACACGACGAAACACAAAGCGAGCGTTATGTCACATCGGTTTTCAGTGGGATCGTGGTATTTTTTTTTGGCATAAGCCCATAAACGAACCGACGGATCACCTGATGGTAAGCAATCTGCGCCGCCCATGGACACTTGAAACACCTAGGCGTTACAAGTGCGTTACCGGCCTTTGGGAATCGGGAATTTGAGGATTGTGGAGGACTGGGGAGGGAGAGTAATTGGGCCTCTAGTAACCTCATTCATATGACGAAACACAACGTAGACGTTGTTTCACGTCGGTTTTCAGTGAGGCCGTGGTATTATTCCGGTCGAGGCGGCCCATTCGTGCCGAAGTATTGCTTTCCCACACTTAGTACTCCGTGTACACATTACAAAATCAACAATGCAACAGCACTAAATCTTGTTTAGTTTAAGTTTTAATTTAAAATTTTACTTCCAGATAATAACTTCAAAATGGGCGTTACTAAAGAAAGAGACATCAGAATCAAATAGTGAAAGTGAGTCTATGTTTATGACGTTTATGAAATTTTTTTTTCTTCATGTATTATGCGTGCTTTATCACCTTGAACTGCGATTAAGGATATGCCTTGACGTCATCAGTGGTTAGAAAGACATAACATTGGCATTAGACTAGTGGCCTAGCTAATCTAGGCCATTGAATGCTGCACTAAAAATGATAAATGATGTTTACACAATTATTTATTTCTGCTACCATATAGCATTTCCGTAATATGTTATTACTTTAAAACAAACTTGAGAAGACAATTATTTTATTTGACTTGAAAGAAACATCGAAACAAGCTCAGAGTTTCAGCCTATTTTAAGTTCGAAATTATGTCTGGATGTGTTGCATAATGCTTCTTAATGTACCCTAAATATAAATAGAACAAAAAAAACATGCAGCGAATTCAGGTATCAATTATATGGGAGCTCCCGTAGACCGGGGGCCCCCAACGTGTGTAAGCAAGAATATAGAAACTTCTCAATTTATATCTCAGTGATCACAAAATGCATGCGTTCAAAGGTTGACAGAAACCATGAAATAGATAAATCTATTCCATGGCCAGAAACTTTGGAAAAACTAAAGTAATCATTGTCCGATAATTTGGACAAAGCGAACTCGCTTTAATAAAACCGGAAACCTTTTCAGGTAACTACCTGGTTTCCGGTTTTATCAGAAATTATTAGCATATTATGTAAAAAAAATCTTCTGAGAAATTTTTACCTTTCATAAGGGCTCCAAAGAAATTTATATACGGGGCCCCACCAAGATACGCTACGTCAATGAGCGAATTGATAACTTCCTCTTTTTTGGGAAGTCGGTTTAAAATAATAATATTTAACACCTCAACAAAGCCTAATAGGTACTTTTTATTATTTCTCAGAGCCGAAAGACAGTTGGAAAACGTTCTTAGAGTTGCTGATTGAGTCTTCAGCAGAGTACGGCAACCTGGAGCTGAGGGAAGAGACCCTGGTCATCGTACTGGCTGGTACTGATACTTCGGCAGTCGGATCTGGTTTCACTACACTCTTACTGGCCAAATACCCTGAAGTACAAGAAAAGGTTTACGAAGAGTAAGTAACTTTGCCTCGACTACCTGATTGGTTTAATGATCTCAAGTGCCACTATCACCAAAGTATTATAGACCTTATTTAAATAGTAGGAAGCCTGAAATTGAGCCTGGTATCTATATGCCAATAGGCTCTCGCTTACCCCCTATTACATTGGACCCATAACATAGTTGGTGAAAAGTGAGTGTACTATCGTATATGCACCATGTGCACTTCTGTCTAAGCCCCCTGGGCTAACGCTAAAACTTTTTTTCTTGGTGCGGAAAAAACAATTACGTAATGGTTCTCTTACACGTGTTTTAAGAAGTTCAATGAATAAATTAATAGAACATTTCGAAAAATTGCATGAATTCTATATCACGTTTGTGAAACTCGCACGTGTATTGGCGAGGACAAATAAAACATAAAAAAAGAATTGAGTCAGATTCACGTACGATGGATTCCGTAGCTATGATATTCATTTATTAGTTTTTATTTGTTGTTATTGCTGCAACAGAAATACATCTGTAAAAATTGTAAATATCTAGTTTTTTAGCATAGTTGGCAAACGAGCAGGCAGATCACCTGATGGTAAGCGATCAGCGCCGCCCATGGACACTCGCAACACCAGAGGAGTTTAGTTATCAGGATTCATAAATCTATCTTGTGAACTGTGATAACTAGACTCCTTTATAACAGACATTGGAACCTCAGTAATAAATATAGTTCTGTTTTTAACATAAAAATATCAATAATAATATAAAAATATACTTTTACATTTCTTTTTAATTTCGGCATTAATTTTAATTATGGCCAATGATTTATTGAAGCCGTTACATACACAATTATAAATAAAAATTAAACTGTTCCAGGTTACAAGAGGTGTTTGGTGACTCAGACAGGCCAGTGACCCATGAGGACCTGCCTAGACTGAAGTACTTGGATGCAGTGATCAGGGAGAGCCTTCGACTGTACCCACCTGTACCTTTGATCACCAGGAAAATTGAGAAAGATGTCGCTTTGCGTAAGTAACATAGTAAGTTTTAGAGGGTAGTTGCAGTGCTGCTTTGTTAAATAAGTGCACCTGTTGGAGGGGTACGTTTGGAACAGCCAGACTATTCTTTAAGATGTCAATTCGAAATCTCGAAGTGAGCTCGATCGTAATCTCGCTCGACATTGGTCGAGATGATTCTCACACCATAAACATGGCGGACCGCGATCGAGCTCACTGCGAAAGATCGAATGGTCTGGAATACCACATAGGTTGCATTGCACGGGAACTCGGGCGAAACCACTGGCAAAAGCTAGTATTCACTAATACATTCCGTCTTTTCAGCGAACGGTGTGACATTAGTAGAAGGATGTAGTGTATTAGTCAGTATCTGGTCCGTCCATCGCAACCCTCGCTACTGGGGCGACGACGCGGAGGAGTTCCGACCTGAACGGTTCCTTGACACCACGCTCAAGCATCCAGCTGCCTTCATGCCGTTCAGTTATGGCCCCAGAAGTTGTTTAGGTAGGTGTTCAGATTTCAAAATTTATTCAGAATATAAATCTGACGTTAGATCTTACCAAGAATTTTGGTGTTAACATTAGCGAATTATAGAGACAAAATTTACGGTTGCTTTTTTTAATGACACCCTGTCTATGGTCTTTGTCTTAATATTGATCCTAATATGCGTCCGTCCTATTCTCGTGTTAAACCTAATGCCCACGATGCTATTTAGCGAATGCATGTATTCGTCAAATGACGATAGATAGATTACTCGTTGCCGCTTTGTCGTAAGTTTTCATTGTTTCTAATTAAGGTACAAGCACTTGTCATTTGTAGGCCGTCTATTATCATCGGCAAATTCACGCAATTGTGAAATGACGCGTCGTGGATAGCAGGCCTTAGATTTGAATAGAACATTGGCATATTATTCCTATGTTTTTGATTCTTTATGAATGCTATGTATACTACACAGTCCACATCAAGCTATACATAACCAGTATATCATGGCTTCATTCTGTATTATCTTATTGCACGTTTAATGATCAGTTTATACTAGTCATACATTACTCAATGCGTACCTAGACATCAAGGTAGGTCTAGATAAGTCAGGAGATAATTCGAAAAGATAATTCTAGAAACACATCAACATAATAATGTTATTTTTTTAGATATCTACCACGTGTTGTGTAGATGTGATTAAGTTTTTGCACTGAAAGATATTATTGACATTAAACTTAAGATGCAATACTTAGTAGGAATTATTTGCTAAACACTTGTACTCTGCTAAGGCCATAATACACTTGTAAACTTGATTATATCCAAATATTATTAAGTATTTGAATGATGTAATTAAAGCTATAAATTATAGGATTGTATTTTTAGTGCAGTATTTGTAAAATGTCATTTGCAGATTGGATTATTTCGTTCGGGGATTGAGTATATTATTTTTTCTGTTCATCGCGATTTCGTCCGCGTATAATAATGACTTCTGGCAGAAGTTGGGTTTTTTAAACTGTCAAACACCAAGCGGTCACCGGTGACCGCAACCTATTGTTCTATATTTGTGTCTACAAAACCGGTACTCGACGAGTTAATTAGTCTTTTGCATTACTAATGCACATTTTAAATGAAAAAGCAGTTATTACTGTAATAGTTAGACATATGATATCACAGACTTTAAGGTCACTGCTCTTTTGTCTATAATTTCTACAGCGTAAGCAATTTAAGGAGTTTTTCACACATCGGGTTATATTAACGAAATTTACTTACGGTTTCCTTTTTTCCTCTTATCAAATATAGTCTATGTTCATCAGGAATAATCTAGGATGCCAACAGCAAAATAATTTTTCAAATCGGTCCGGTGGATTCGAAGCCTATTCAATTCAAACAAACAAAACAAATCAAATCTTGCCTCTTCATAATATTACTGTAGACTACCCCGCTTATTCGTACGCGCAATCCCGGTTCTCCCGTTTCCGTATGATTATCGAGAAATTCTTGGATAGAGTATCCTGGTTCGAAGCTACATACCCACCAATTTTTAACTAAATTGATTTAGCTATTCTTGAGTTATAAATGGACCCTGTTAAGCAGAAAAGAGCCAGCCCACATTTTATTACTTTTGAGTAAATGAAGTTTAATGTTGGGCAGATAATAAAAAACATATGACACATACCTATTGAATAGGACTTAAAAAACTTCATATGATTACTTTAAACTTCATTTACTAAAAAGTAATAAAATGTGGGCTGGATCATTTCTGCTTAACAAGGTCCAAAAAGTGTAAATAAATAGAATTTCTTTTCTAAATATAGATTTCTATCGTAATTTGAACTACATTGACAAGGAAATCCCCACATTTAACTGGTTACCTATATTATAAAACTTGTGAATGTAATTAGGGGTGAGTCTATCGCAGTACATTGGACATAATTTCATACACTACAGTAAGTACTATATCTATAAAAATGAACCCCGTTTCCCGTTGTCAAGCCATAGCTTGAGAACGGCTAGACCGATTTGGCTGATTTTTTTTTGTTGTGTTTGTTATCGTTAGGAGTAGGTTCTTATGACAGAAAAGAGTCCTGAAAATCCTACGGGAATGGGAGAAACGGGACTGGCAGAAACTAGTATATGTTAAATATAAAAAAAAAACTGATAGCGCATAGGTACGACAACCATTTTTTTTAATGTCTACCTGGTAGATTATGATCATTAGACACCTGTTTTTAATTGTCAAGGACACATTGATTTGAAATATCGTGTGACGTCACTTTTGGGTACATTTTATACTTAGTATTAGGAATGACGTAGCTAGCCCCCTCTCCTTAACTTTAGTTACCTATCTAATATATTTTTTATTATTATGTATGTAAAATGTCAATATTAGGTTTTTAATTAAGGAATTATAAATTTTAAGCATACCTACCGTATGCAATAGGCATAGTACAGTATGAGGCTCATTTAAGTTGAAATGAAATAAAATGAAATCCATAAATTACAATTACAGAATGAGTCATTGATTATTCGCAGTAGCCCACATCATGTTGGAGTGGGTTATAACTGAAAAAATAAACAAATATTATAATAAGAATAAGCATAAGTAATAGGTAACTCTTTGTGGTATTTTCAGATACCTACAGTGACTGCCTCGTTGGCCGAGTGGTCGCAAGTGCGACTGTCGGGCAAGTGGTCTCGGGTTCGATTCCCGGGTCGGGCAAAATATTACTGGGTTTCTAAAAAAATCTCAGTAGTAGCACGGAGTTTGGAATTGTGCCCGGTACATGGCAATAGGCTCCCCCTATTACATGGGACTCATAAAATAGTGAAAAGTGGGTGTTACTTCTGTGTGCACCTCTGCCTAGGCGTGATGATATTGAAATGTTTTTTTTCCTTTATTAATATTATTTCCCGGTCAAAAAGCACACGGCCTACCTAATGGTAACCGGTTATTGCGGCCTAACAACGTTTGCAACATTGACATCACACGAGTTTAAGGACATCCTATAACACATTATACCAATTGTACCAAACATAACTAGGTAGCCATATTTATTATTTATTGTTATTGTACATTTTTAATAAGGTAGGTAGATACTTTTTCGAATTTTAATGTTCATCTATGTTTCTTTTATTTTGAGTAGACACATAAATGGGGATCTATAAATAAGTATAGCAAACAATCAGGTTTTTACTTATTTATCAAATACATCAAGAGTTTCATAAAATTTTAATATTGCTCACAGAAAACCGACCTGAAACAACGCTTGCGTTGTGATTCGTCGTGTGAGTGAGGTTACAGGAGGCCCAATTACCCTCCTCTTCCCCAATCTCCCCAATTCCTGAATCCCCAACGATCCTCAAACTCCTAATTCCCAAAAGACTGGTAACGCACTTGTAACACTTCTGGTGTTCCAGGTGTCCATGGGCGACGCCGATTGCTTACCATCAGGTGATCCGTCTGCTCGTTTACCGGCTTATGCCATAAAAAAAACATTTTGTGGGCATTAAAAATAGTATTAAATTAATTTCAATTGCAGTAAACCTCAGCAAATATTTTAATGCGTTTCCTATTGATTTAAATAAGTATATTTATTTTCGTGCTGGTATTACAAAGTAAAAAAATACATTATAATTTTGCAAAATATTTGTATTATGCTGATTTTGATTTATTTCTAATGTTAGTTTAGCACTCGTATAGGTAGTATGTTTTACACTGAAGAAAATATTTAAATATTATAATTTTATTATTTAAGTCTATTATGGTTTTCGAACTACCAAACATTTTTTTTTTAATTTTGTCCCACACTTGGATTTCTCTCATGTATCGTGGGTGCGTTGGACAAACATACAATCCCACATACACACCCAGACCCGAAACAACGATTCGTGGATTACACAAAGATTTGTTCCGTGCAGGAATCGAACCCAGCTACGCAACAAGTGTGTAGTTAATATTTAAACTCTACGTATTTTCCAGGGTATCTTTACGCTATGATGTCAATGAAGACCGCTATGGCGACTCTGGTACGTCGGTACAGGATTCGACCTGGTGATGGTCAGACGGGCAAAGAAAGAATACGAGTCAAATTCGGCATCATGTTGAAACCTGTCAACGAATTTATTGTCAAACTTGAACCAAGGACTAAGGGAGAGAAATGAACGCACGCATTTTATATGAACCTTTATATATGCCTGAAATTAAGGAAAAATTGCCATTTTTATCAACCACCCTTAAACAACCTCTTAACTAAGCGTTACTTAGCACGGGGATAACTCTTTATTTGTACTATTATTAGGTGTCAATTATAACGTAAGTTGTGAAAACCAAAATGTCTTTATTTATTGAACACTTGGAAAACCAATAGCTACACAATTTGAATTAAAAGGGTAAGAGTCACTTAATTACTTATTTAAAAGGCCACCTATCCTATCTTAGGGTATACTTAAAATTTACGAGAGGTTGGTAAAAACGGACAGAAGTAATATAAAATAATATAATAAACTACGTTTTACCCGCGGCTTTGTTCGCGTATTCCTGTTTTATCTCATGGAAGCATTTAAAGAACTTATTATAATAAGTACCCTATCACCAGGTAAGTCAGCGTATAGGTACCCTTCCTGCATACCAAATCCAATTTGCAAATCAAAGATCCTTTCAAATTTATAATATTAATGTAATAAATAAATGATATCCCATTTATTTAGTCATTATTATTACAATCAACAGCCGAAAGACGTAAATTTTATAAATATATATATTTAGTGTAAATTGAAAATTAAAGTTGTTAGTGCGACACCATATAAAATATATAAATATATAATTATATTCTTTTAATACCAATTAGGTAGTGGAATTATAAACAAAAATATGCGTATATTTTTGGCAACAACATATGCATGATTTAGATTAGAATTTTTAATTTTTGAATGATTATGTTAGAAATGGCCGTTTTATACAGCCTTATTTGCTTTTATAATTAATTCTATGTCTATGACGCATTTTGAAGGTAAAGTGTATCTATAAGTGCTGCTCTGCAAGAAGTATCTAATATCACTTCCATGAATTGCATTTAATTAATTTCAAAGTCAAAATTTTATATTTCAAATTATAATTATATGCATTTTATTTTAAATATTGGCGTATAAATGTCCATTTGGGTATTTTGATGTGTCATATACTACATTTAAATATTAGCTATTATTCATAAGGTGTTTATAGTAATATTTTCGTATTAAGAAATTGTAGAAAAGTGTGTAAATTCTAAGAAATGATCACAAAATATAATCGAACTTTCCTAATCATGTGTTTTATTGCTATTGTACTATACATATTACGTTATACTAAGATTGTTTTTGTTAAGAATGTCGTGGTGGCCCGGAGGTTTAAGACGCCCGCTTCCCATGCACGAGGGTGCGGGTTCGAAACCTAGCAACGGCAAGTACCAATGTGACTTTTTCCGATTTATTATTCAGACACCACTGGCAAGCGGTGAAGGACAACATCTTGAGGAAACCTAGGCTTATAATTTCTAATTATAAGTTTCTAATCGCCTACCCACATTGAGCAAGCGTGGCGATTATTGCTCAAACCTTCGTCGTGTGAGAAGGGGCTTTGCTCAGCAGTGGGTATTTATAGGCTGTTGATGAAATGAAAAAAAGAATTTTTTTTAGGACGTAAATATGAATTTGTACAAATGTTTTAAATTTTATTTATACACATTCAAATACTTATTAGTCAACTATATTAAAAAAAGTAACCTATAGAGTTTCTTGCTCGTTCTTCTATATAGGAATCTACAACTTGGACCGACCAAATAGTTTCTTTTAAAATGTAATATTTAAGCGTCAAAATTTTATTATACGTTAGTCGGTCCATCAGTGAAGCAGAAAAGAAAGGTTGTTGTTCCAAAATATATTTTGATTAGCATAGAGAAGAACAAACAAGAAACTCCCTTGGTTTTGACTGAGGAAATTATATATTTATGATTGACATGAGATTTTTTTATGGCATAAGTCGAAAAGAGAGCATATGGACCACCTGATGGTAAGCAACCGGCGCCGCCCATGGACACCCGAAACACCAGAGGCTTTACAAGTGCGTTACCGGCCGTGGTATCACTACGGTCGAAACGGCCTATTCGTGCCGAAGCATAGCTCATTTCATCTCTTCTACAAGATGTTTATCAAAATAAGTTGCGGTAATTATAATGTGGCAATTATGTCAAGGTTAATGTAACGGTTTTCGTCAACTTAGAATGACCTCTTAGCAATGTGAGGCCCAGTGGGTTTTAGGAAAATAATTTGGCGAAAGTACCCTTCACCGGTCACAAATATGAACGTACTTACTATGTAGGTACACGCTTTTTATATCTATCGTCTCAATATCTGTGATCTATATAGTATTAGGTAAGTAAAACGACATTCATATGTAGCAGTCGAAATGATTAAATCGCTGTTACGGCTAACTTTTTGGTCACCTACTTCAGTAGGTGTTTTTCTAAATGGCTAGCTGTAATGTTAAACGTTAATTTATACAATTTATGCAATACAAAATAACACGTATGTACATATTATAAGGTAGGTTCGCCTGTTTGCGTCTACTCACTAAAGTTCACCTGTTCGCGTCCATCCACCAGTTCGCGTCTATTTTGCGGATCGCCATGGTAAAAAAACAGTCAATGCCGTATGTGGGTAGTTAAGTAGACGAATTTCGTATGATGCATATTGACTGACTGACAGACTTAACAGATAGCTTGGAAATCGCATTTTGAGTGGTCGAGTTTAAGCGGTTTGAAGTCGATGGATTTAGCAGAGAGCACTACATTCGGTTCGTTATGCGGACCTTTTTGTGCAGTGGGAACTAATGTTGATGACTAGGTATAGTGTACGTTTTCATTACTTGTAGTTTTAACACTTATTTGCTACATGAGACTGCTTACAAATTATTTTGAGCTTTTTCGTCTGTGACGTACCTACTTTAGCGTTATTTACTTTTACCGATATTGCGTCAAACGAAGTACTCGAGTACTATCGAGTACTATGGTGTTAGTGTCAATAGTAATTTTTTATAAATGTTTTTATTCGTGTGAAGAGCAGTAGTTAATATTTTTTTCTTCTGTAACTTTCCTAAATTATCCTAAGCTTAACTTTAAACGCAAGAATTACTTTGTTTGTTTATCGACTTTACACTTAAACTGCTTTACTGATCTCTTGTAGAGACAAATAAGGCACCAAGACAATGTTAGGTTCAAAGGTATCATAGTTCTAACATTTGTCTCATTGGTGTACATGTTCATGTTACGTATGTTAACTCGTCGAGTACCGTCATTATAGACACAATAGGCGTGTCGACAGGGTAAAAAAATTAAAAAAGTAATTAGTCCGTCATTAAGATCGCACGAAAGTATCAGACACGTATTTTTTGTTTTATCAAATTAACAGAAGAATACGTAGTTATTCCGCATTAAAGTTAGGGAGTGGGGGGTGTTGACGTCACACTTACGGAGAAATTTTCGTACCTAATTGTGACGTCACGCGTCATTTTAACTCAAAATATCTACATGTTTTTTTGGATACGAGAAAAAAGAAAAAATACGTATCGAAGATTTTTAAAATATCTAAAAGACGGACAAAAAATTAAAAAATAGTCGCCATGCCTATTATAGAACAATAGGTTGCGGTCACCTGTGACCGCTTGGTGTTTGACAGTTTAAATGTTGAATGGTCTAGTACTTACAACGTGCCATGCCGTTTGGGTGTCAAGAACCAAGTTGTAGGAAGTTAATCTTTTACATGGAAGAGCGTGCCGAAGTTAAGTTCTTCGTGGTTTCGTCCTCGGACGACAAAGAAGCTTTACTGCTTCATGCAACGTGTTGTAAGTATTACTGTCGAAGTTTTGGTTTTCTACAGATGCGATTTTGAACTTTCTTCAATACCGACTCCTTCGTGAAATAACAGTGTGTTAAGCTGTGATGTCATTATCTCAAAAACATAACATTCGAATTGAACCTCGACACTTGAATTGGATGGTACTCAATTCATACGATACTCAATAGTATAAGTACTAGAAAAAATTTGTGTGTACTTAAATACATCATCAATGTCGCACAAAACTATTTTGTCATATCCATTAGTTGATGCGCCTTCATATCTTTCACTACATTACCGAAATAAATCAATTACTCCTGATATAATTTTTGCTAATTGAAACTTTGTGTCTTTCGAAATACGTTTTATTTTCATTAATTTTAACTAGTGTTTATAGTTAGTTGATCATGTTAGTGCAGATAATTTTATTGTTTTTGCTGGTGTGGCTTCTTGTGTTGCGATGGCAAAGAAGAAAGATGATCGAGCTGTCTCATAAGCTTGGAGTGACCAACCACATGACCCTACCATTCGTGGGACATGCTTACATATTCTTTGGAAGTGACGAAGGTAAGTGTTGTACCCATCTATTATTTAGGTAACTTATTTCTTTATTGTCTAGAATTTGAAAGACTTCCTTTGAGTAGGTTCCAATACTGTCAGAATATTGGAGTTTATCCCAATCTAAACCATACACATACATTATTTGTTTATTCTTTTATGTACACAATGTGATTATGCCATATTTAATGCCATATTGCATTCTCTACAAGTCAACCTTAGGGTTTAAGTAGAAAATCTGCAAAAAAATAAGGTATGGAGAATAAACTAACAGCAAAGAGGAAGAGAGAGAGAGAGAGAGAGAGAGAGAGAGAGAGAGAGAGAGAGAGAGAGATAGAGAGAGAGAAAATGGTAATTATTAAATAATATAGCTTTACTTATATCTTAAATAATAGTAATTATGTACATTACTCGCTGAAACATAAGGTCATCAACGGTAGAAGAGAGTTTAAGAGTTTTTCAAGTCTTCTTACTACTTTCGGAGCCCGTATTGAGTGTGGTTCAAACAAAAATATTATTAATTTCTTTAGGTACTAGGGGTTTGTCAAGTAGAACTTTATACGACTATTCAATCATACCGATCGTATGTAGCTGAAACAATTGTATACGTTTACGAACTCACAAGTAATAAGATGGAAATAGTGTGTGTAAACGAATTCAAGTTATCAGGCTCTTATTGAAAAAAAATTAAAGTCTGATACAAAGTTTGTCGAATCTATAAAGTTATTTACGAAATGTTTAACAGTACGTACAGAAATTTTGCTTTAACATTTTTCGACTTGTTGCCTATCGCACAATGCATAATTATATAATGATACATACGACATAGCTACGAGAAATATTTGAAACATGGATGTTCGCGTAGGCACCGGCACGGAAAAAAAATTGATGTAGGTTTTTTATTAAAATAAACTTGATTCGTTCTTATTAAAAAATTTAATGCCTGTTCTACGTTTCAAAACCAGTCAGATATAAAAATATACTAGCTTGTCTAAGCTACTTTATATTTATGATGATAGACCGTTTATTCTCTTGATCTTTGTTTTCTTTTAATAATGTTATGAAGCTGAAGAGTTTGTATGTTTTTGTTTTTCCTTAATCTTTAAAATTTCTGGTTAGAATTGAAATGTATTTTTATTTTGGATAGTGCAATTATTGAAGAAGGTTACAGGCCAGAAAGTATCTTGCTACGACCAAAACCGAACCGGTACATGCAGTAACCCTATTTTCACACAACTGACACTATTAGTGATTTCTATAATGAATACTCGAGATAATCAAAAAGTTTTGGCAGTCCTGCTTGCTTATCACATCTTTATAATATCTTCTGATTCACTTCGTTGCGGGAACCAAGACAGTTATTCATGTTCCTGGGACGCGCCGGACTTTAGTGTTCCGGTGTTTTCATGGTTGTATCTACTGTAGATCCTGGCTTACAGGAATTGCAGAGGTATTGGGAGGAAGGGGCGGGTGTGTCCCTTAAAAAAGTCGAGCTTGCTTATCAGATGTGCTTGAAACTTCAGTCTAAATGTAGTATTAAGCAAAACTAAACATATTTTAATGTTAAACCATCATATAATATCCTTTTTTCCAGATCGAATGACAAAATTCCAGAAATTGGGCCGTGAAGCGATCGCGAGTGAGCATGGAGTTACGACAATATGGCAAGGGCACCGGCTGTACTTAGGTAGGTATTATAAAATATATGTAAATTATTTAATAACAAGTTTATAGAAGACCGAGACCTCTAAAACACGAAAATTTTCAATTAATCTTGTTCAAGGTTGTAAACAAATGATTTCCATGTAGTTCTAAGGTCGACTATGTCACACACATTAAAGTGGCTATCATCACCAATTAAGTTATATAAGTATTTACAGTGTCATGGTCTTTAACACTGACGTTACAACATAATATATGTAGTTATAACTGAATTACTACTATTTTGTTTTGTTTTTGATGATTGTCCGATATTTTGCAGATTTATGTACATATAATAGGTGCACTATCAATTAAACGTAAAAAATATACACAAAGGTTTGTTTTCTTTTTGGACTGGTAAATTATGTTAAAAAATTAGACACGTATTTTTTCTTTTGCTACAAAATTAAATACTTTCGACGATGATGACGACGATGGTTTGAAATATCGTGTGATGTCACGAGTTGCTACGTTTTGTAGAAACGCGTGACGTAGCGACCTCCCATTTCCACACTTAATTTCGTTTTGTTTTATCTTAGTATGCTTTTCAAGAAAAAATAAAAAATACGTGTTTAATTCTTTTTCATTAACTGCTTAGATTTTTAATTTTCATACCCTATCAGCTACCCAACTGCACCACAAAACATTCATAGTACTTAAAATTTTAAACTTACTAGTACCTAACTTAAGCCTACTTGTCACCTGTTACCCATGCTACACGAAAACATTAGAAAAAAGTCTTGTATTTATTTTAATGATACCATTTTTTTAAGTTCAACGTGCGTAGCATCCATTACCTTGTTTAGTTTTAATTTAGTTAATTAAAAATTAAAAATAACACTATAAAGATAATAATGGCTCTTTTGATATGTAACATTATTAAAATTGTATCTACTATTGTCTCTTTGTTTGAATCCCACGTAGACATAAAAAAATATTTTTGTGGGAGGTACCAGCGTATGATGACCCTAAAACCATGAATGTGATAATAAAAATAATTATGCGTTATATATGAACTAACTAATAGTCTTTAGTACCTCCATTTTTTATTGTTTACAGTGGTATCAGATGCGAAGGTTGCGGAGTTACTTCTAAAGACCTGCTTGGAGAAAGATGATGCAGTAGATTGCTTGAAGTTCGTGACTGGTAACGGCAGCATCTTCGCCCCAGGTATGACATTCATTATCACACGTGGTTTATCAGAGAGCCCAGCAAGATTTTCTTTAGCATAGCTTCATCATAAGTCCAATTGAATATCCAATCTCTCATTATTAAAGAAATAGGATGAACAGACGTCAAGAGTTAAATACCAAGAGGATAATTTGTCAAAAGACAACATTATGTGGATCATTTTTGAATCACTAAGGTAGCCTATGTGTTCCTGGAGCCGCGGAGGACTTAACGGGTTGCCGGGGCTCCGGCTCGAAGCGCAGGAGTAGGAACGGGGTGGTTTTTAGGCGGTAAGAGTCTGACACTCCCTCTCGCGTCACCCGAGCGATCCGAAGTCATTGGATGATTTTCCCGCCTCAAAGAAAAGCCTATGCGTTTCTCCATAGTACTTAACTACTTACTACCACAACCATTATGTATTCCTATGTGCTTCTGCGCGCTATTTCTCAAACCAATCGCTCGGTCTGTTTCTTAATCTGCCGGTGACGCTAATAAATTATTTGTTTTCATTATTAATCTATTTGATTCCAAAATCGAAAAAAAACAGTTATTAAAGAAAAAAAAAATTGATGGTTTCTCAAACAGAAACCGGATGTATACTGGTTGTATATTTGTCCTTCAAAAATAAGGTACTTGTAGTGACTCCACGTGTAGTATGTTTATAGAGATAAATCACCTGTAAAGGAAAATAAAATGTATTTACACTCATATCAGGCATGATGCTAAAGGATGAAGAAATGGTTTCTGAAAATTCAGCAATATCTGGTATATGTATATTGTTGTTCTTTTAAATAAGCAACGATCCTTATATTTGAACTATCGTGAGACATACTGACAAATTATTATGTTTTCGGTTTACTCACGTAACTGTTTGACGAAGAATTCGACTCAAGCCGTGCTAAAAGCACTTATGCAATGTGAATTTATATGAATATGAGCCCTTTAAAAAAAACATGGCTTGAAACTAGTCGAGTTCCTCGTCAACGATGCATTATATCTGTGCTATATTATAGGTGCATGCTCATTAAGGTATTATTTTAATTTTAAACGTTTTTCAAATTAACAGCCTTCTATTAAATATGATTATGGTCTTTTACAGTCAGTATTTGGCGTCCTCGTCGTAAAGTCTTAGCTCCGACTTTCAGCCCGAAGAACTTGCAGCAGTTTGCTGAGATCTTCTCTCGTCAAAGCGCTATCATGGTGGAACAGTTGCGGACTGTCGCAGGAAAAGGAGTCTTCTCCATATGGCAATACATCACAACTTATACCATGGACTCCGTTTGTGGTAAGAAGCCATGAACTAGCTGGCATGATCGCTTTGGTTTTTTTCTGTCAATGTTTTACTTCTAACAAAAGATGTTTAGAATTTATTATTGTTGAGTCTAGGCCATGAAATAGTCTACTTCATATGTCAATAATTTTGTTATATTTTACATGTTATTGTGCCCTTATTTAATGTAAATATCAAATGATATTTTATACTCAAAATTGCTTTGTATATTTGCTTATTTTATGGTTCCGGATTTTTTTAAATGATATGTTTAATTTTCAGAGTCAACTTTGGGCGTTTTAGTAAATTCTCAAAAACAATCGGAACAACCATTTCTTCAAGCTTTTGATAAATGTACTCAATTGGATGCTGACCGACTTTGCAAGCCATGGTTCCATCCTCAAGCTATATACGAAATGACACCAGCTTACAAACTGCATCTTAAGTGTAGGAACTACATTTGTAAATTCGTTGATCAGGTGAGAGTCAACATCATAACACTAGTAATAGGATTAAATATTCGTTAATCATCATCATCATCAACAGCCTATAAATGCCTACTGCTGAGGAAAGCCTCTTCTCACAAGGTGAAGGTTTGAGCATTAATCACCACGCTTGCTCAACGCGGGTTGGCGATTACAAACTTATAATTAGGCATTATAAGCCCAGGTTTCCTCACGATATTTTCCTTTACCGTTGGTCAGTGGTGTCTAAATAATCTTAGAAAGTACATACATATGACCCGGAAAAAAGTAACATTGGTACTTGCCGTTGCGAGGTTTCGAACCCGCACTATTACGAGAAGTGGGCGTCTTAAACCTCCGGGCCACCGCGACATTCGTTAATGTTGATGGTTAATTAACCGACTTCAAAAAAGGAGGAGGTTCCAGTTTGCTTGTATCTTTGTGCTCGATTATCTTGCGATTGACTGAACTGATTTTGGTGCGGTTTTCAGAAAGTCTTTATTACACTTTAGAGCAGGTTTTCGCTGACTCCAAAATTATATTTAACTTCTTATTTAACTGGCTCCAAAAAAAAGAGGGGATTGACATCGGTTTTTCTAAAACGTAGTTTATAAAAGATTATTTTAATGTTTTAGATCATTAAAACCAAGAAACAAGCATTGGCAGAAGAAAAGGTGTCAATGGCCGAATCTGAACAAAGTAAGATAACAAAATCATGTCACTTTAATCTTATCATTTTGGAGCTCCACCATGTTCTGATACAGAATACAACATAACACACTTATATCTTCCAGATATAAAACACGATGGTCTTAAGACATTCTTAGAGCTCCTCATAGATTCTTCAGGAGGTGATCGAGGATATTCAGATGTGGAGCTGAGAGAAGAGACTTTGGTATTAGTCCTAGCTGGAACCGACACATCTGCTGTAGGCACTGCCTTTGCTTCGATTCTGCTGTCAAGATACCCTGATGTACAGGAAAAGGTCTACCAAGAGTAAGTTGATTCATCAATGAATGCTAACGATATTTGCTCACTATTGTCATCATCATCATTAACAGCCTGTTTTTGTCCAGGACTAGTCAGAGACTGGTCCAATAAACCACCACTAAGCTCGAACTTCACCTCTTTTGATCCAACAACTGACAGCCATTTTGCGGATATCGTACCTCTATCGTCTTTTGCTCTCCTGTTAGAGCCCTTGTTACGTGAGGTCCTGTTTGCGAAATAGGAAATTGGTTAGTGTCAACCACGGAACATTACATTTTTGATAGCTGCAGTGATTGAATAAACAGACCATGCGCTACATGCACCATTTACACCCGAATACCGAAAGGCTACTCAATTTTGAATTAGTACTTTAATATCGTGCCATCTCTGTCATTTTACAAAGAATTTATAGTGACAGAACTATATTTTAGCGCGACCTAAAATTATGAGTATTTGGACATCAGTAATGGTATCCTTCAGTTACAAAATTAATGTTCTTTAATTTTCTTTTTCGTTAAGGTTACTTGAAGTATTTGGTGATTCCAAAAGACCGGTTGTGGCTGAAGATCTACCTCGACTTAAATATCTGGATGCTGTTATAAGAGAAACGTTACGCTTGTACCCACCAGTGCCTATAATTGCGAGGAAAATTGACAAGGAAGTTATTTTACGTAAGTTCCTTTAGAAAATAGAAGATTCAAATAAAGCTTATTATGTATATTTTAATTGCAATTAGAAAATCTTTTGGTGATATACAACTTTGAAGTAAAGGAGCCTATTCGTATTAGCTTTAGTAAAACTGCACAAGCACAGCTATTAATAACGTAGTCTATATAAACCAGTTACAAGTTTAATTAATTGCCTAAAGTGGGTAAATATTTATTTATTTATTACTTCTTCACCAAAGATGACAGTGAATGGCGTACTTAATGCCTTAAGGCATTCTCTTAATATGTTACATAATAAAATTTTAATTTTAATTATTATATTTTCCTCTTTTTCACACTCATGAGCAGCACTCCGCGACGCGGCGACTGTCGCGCAAACATAATCATTAATTTACTATTTCTCACGAAAATTTTAATTTTAATTTTAGATTTTGGGAACACTTGCATATTTTAAATAAGACGAAATTATATTACAGCTTCAGGAATCACTCTAATTGAAAATTGTGGTGTTGTGATCAATATTTGGGCACTACATCGTAATCACCACTACTGGGGAGATGACGCGGAGCAGTTCCGACCTGAACGGTTCATTGATACACCGCTGAAGCATCACGCTGCCTTCATGCCGTTCAGCCATGGACCCAGAGCTTGTATTGGTAAGAGAATATGCTTTATTATAATGTAGCTTAAGGTCCTATATTCAAAGTCAAATCATTTATTTTAAAGCAAGGCACTTTTGAACGTCAAATCATATGTTCAATAACTGTTAGTAACTGTTGATGGAATAATATAGGTATATTAAAAATGGACAAACCAATGGTTTGATGAAAGGAAATTATCTATTTGGCAAAAAACGACCTCCGTAGCAACAACAGTGACAATTGTTATTTATTTACTGGCTTCTGCCCGCGACTTCGTACGGAATTTCAGATTTTTTCTATCTTAAGAACCATAATAATAACAAATACAACAAAAAAATTATTAGTAAAATCAGTCCAGCCATTCCAAGTGACCAAGAGAAAAAAGGATTCATTTTTATATATATAAATAAACACACATATGTGTGTACATATATAAATAGATTAGAGGCACACAGGTACTGCATATTCCCATAGGAATCTCTTTCTGTAGTCCTATTTTTTGATATTTAAAAATATGTCCTTTGCAGGTTATCAGTATGCAATGATGTCGATGAAAACTGCTCTATCATCTCTTCTTCGTCAATATGTGATTCTCCCGCCATCTGACGTTGAAGACTTGAAGCCTTTCAGAGTGAAATTTGACATAATGATGAGAGACGTTGACAATTTTACCTTACAACTTGTAAAAAGAATTTGAATGAACTGTTTTATATAATAGGGTTCTCAGTTACTATTTGCCTATCTTATATATATACTAAATATATAAATTTGAAGTATTTGTTTGAATGCGCCAATCTCTGTAACTACTGGTTTGATTTGAATAATTCTTTTTCTGTTTGATAGTCCATTTATCGAAGAATATGACTTGTGGTTCTTATACTGCAAGTCATATGATAACTGACTGCACGGTTGGCGCAGTGGCTCTGCTCTGATTGCTACGCCATCTAAAAAGTGATAATGGCATTTTCTGAATACAATTACTATCATTAACCTGGAGGCAGAAACTTCGGCAGTGCTTGATCCCCGTGCTTCGGGAAGCGCATAAAGCTAGTGGTCCTGCGCCTAACCTCACTCCGGTCTTGTCGGTCTCTTGTGCACTATAATAACTACTGCGTGGTGGGCTAGTCTAGTTAGACTGACTGGCCACCATGTTCGAAATAGGTCGGGAGTTTTTTTATTTATTATAAACTTGCCTTAAACCTATCTACCCCCGTTCCAAATTTTATACCAATCTCTTTAGCCGTTTCGACGTAAAGGAGTAACAAATAAACACACTAACTTTCGTATTTATAATATTAGTAGGGTAAAGGCCACAGAACATAATATAAAGTCTTTAGGTATATGTTCTGTGATACAGGCATTAGGAAGTTAGTCTGATATTATAGAACCACTTGAGGTGCGAAAATATAGGTTCAAATATTATGACGTATTACTGGGTTTAAAAAAACTTAGTAGTTGTATGGAGTCTGAAATTGTGCCCGGTATACGGCAATAGGCTCACCCGCTATTATACATAACATAAATAGTGAAAAGTGGGTGTTACATTGTATAGTGGCATTAAGTGCCGTAATGTGCCCTCTGCCTACCCCTTGGGGAATTTTTTTTTTAAGGGGGGAAATATATCGAATGACTGCTTCCGCCTGGGTGAGGCGGGAGGAAGTGTCAGACTCTTACTGACTAAAAACCACCCCGTTCCTTCTCCTGCGCGTCGAGCCGGAGCCCCGGTTACCCGTTAGGTTCTCCGCGACTCCGAATCGGCTGGCTCTTTGAGGCGTGCGCGGAACGCGACGCGCCGTACGCACCCCTTGGGGGATAAAGGGCGTGATATAATGTTTAGTATTATAAAATAAGGTGGGTAATAAATACATTTTCTTAATATTGTCATATTGTTTTGACTGGTGTTTTAATAATTACACATTTTATAGAAAACAGAAATAATATAATTAGCAGATAGGTATCATTATATTATATAAAAACTATGGTTTAGTTTCAAAATTAAATTATAAGGCATAATATTATAATGTATTATTTTACTCGTACAACCTTGAAAACTAAACTAGAAAGGCCGTTGTTTCATATTAGATGTTTTTATTCCTATGATACCCCCACTACTACAATGACGAGCCGATTGACGACAGGCCGAAAGGAAATTATTTCAAAATTTATTTATTTTCCTAATTCATTTACTTGCCTATTCTTTTTTCTAATTTCTTAAGTCAGAGTTTGCTAATGTTACAAAGAAGTCAAAGGTTGCTTTTAAAAAATAATGTTGTGGAAAATTTTGGTGTTTTTTGAGCGTGCCTCAAGACCAACGTGATACAAATCTAAACTCGATATTTTTTTACTAGCCCTCAAGTGACTAGTAAGCTCGAGATACGTAGACAGTGTAGTCGGTATCAATATAAAAAAATTACAAATTGCGTGAAGGAATCTTTATTACTACAGTGTATAAATTCAAATGGGCAAGTACTCTTGAGTTTTTGAAATTAAAAAATATATAATTTTGAATTTTTGAAAATTGTGACGGAGCTCTACTACCTGTGACCGATAGGTGTGGTGACTTTAAATTTACAACAAGAAGAAATAATTAATTTTTTAAGTGTATATTACAAGTGATACAAAATGTTGGTCGAGCTAATATTACTGCTGGTCATACTCCTGCTGATACACCAGCGATGGACAAAGAGGGATATTTACAAGTTGGGGGAACAATTGAATTGTGGAGTAAGATCGTTTCCACTTATTGGACACAGTTATTTGTTCATGGGCGATGGTTTGGGTAAGTATTTTATTGTTTTATGTACGTTTAACATTTAACAAATCAAGTTTAACATACGCTTTTACGTGTCAATTTTTTTCAAAGATTTTTTACTTAATTTATATTTACTGTGAAACGCTGTAATTCTGACATGTTTTCGTTGACCGCATTTTGTGTTATATCTTATTAATTAATGGATATTGTATGTGTTATTCCGAATTTATAATTCTTAAGTACTATATCAATTTGAAAAGCTATCTAAGGTATTATTAGACTGATATAATGTAGTGATAATAATCAAGAATTGGGTAGGGTTAGTTCAGTTTCTTGTGGCTCATACGATGGTAATAAGTACGTTAAGATTTGAGGATATTGAGAAATTTGATTAAAGATTAGGATTACAAATGCCGGAAGGATTGCCCTTACTAGTATGGGCATTAATTAAATATATATATATAACAATATGGACATATATAATACCTATAATATAATATAGTCTGGAATTGTGTCCCGGTATATGGCAATAGGCTCAACCCCTATTACATGGGACTCATAATATAAATAGTGAAACGTGTGTGTTACATTGTATAGTGGCATGAAGTGCCGTAATGTTCACCTCTGCTGGTTTTCGGGGATAAAAGGCGTTTTGTTACACCACGACAGCGACCTCATTGGGAATGCTTGCGAAAAAGGTCGTGTGTAATATTCATAGGTCATACAAGGTCATCCTAATATTGTGTGAAACTGCTCATTTTAATACTTTTACATCTATTTCAGCACGGATGAAAGCCTTCCAGATTATGGGTTTAGATGCACTGAAAAAAGAAAATGGCTTGACATCACTGTGGCTTGGAAATCGAATGTATACTGGTACGAGTTCAGTTCTTTATTTAATCGAAGGTGTTTTTTGAATACAGTATATGTTTACAAAGTAATATAACGTTACAGTGGTTGCTGATCCTGAAGCAGCAGACACTATTTTAAAGAGCATTTCCGAAAAAGACGACATCATTAGAATGGCTTCAGTTTTCATTGGAAATGGTTCTATATTTGCTCCAGGTATTAAGACAGCAGATGTTTACGTAAACTTAGCCTGAGGGGGTTCCTTCACTAAGTTACTTGTAATGTTGCAATGTTGCAGTGTCAATTTGGCGACCACGTCGAAAGGTCTTAGTACCAACATTCAGTACGAAGAATTTGAAATATTTTATGACCATATTTGCAAGTGAAAGTCAAATCTTGGCTCAAGAAATAGGAAACACAGCTGGAAATGATCCGATTTCAATATTTAAGTACTTCACTGCATATACCATGGATGCTATTGCGCGTAAGCTGCTTTACAATGTCAAGTTCTGTAATGTGATTATTGTTGTTAGGAAGATAGTAATATTTATCGTTTTTTTACAGAAACGACGATGGGTTATAATATGAACGCCCAAAAAGATTCTAATCACTTCTTCTTGAAGGGATTTGATATGGGACTTAATAGCTTTGCGGAGCGTATTTGTCAGCCATGGCTGCACAGTGATGCGATATACAAGAATCTTCCCTTGTACTCCACACTGATGAAACACAAGAAGGAAATATGGGACTTTATATCTGAGGTTACATTTGGATCATTTTTTTGTTATTCTTTCGTTCTATTTATTTTGATTCATACACACATAAGAATGAATGCCTCTGGCATTATGTCCACCTTAGTTCTATATGTAACCTTAGTATGATGGTGTATTATGTTTATTAATAATAAAAAACAATAATTTCCAGACTATATATAAAAATGAGATAATATCCAATTTTCCTAATTCTGGGTTAATTATGCTTGTTCTCAACAAATGTTATGTTTTCAGTTGATAAGAAATAAACGAAGAGAGATTAAAGAAAAGAACATGACCCAAGAACAGTATGAAAGTGAGTATACGGTGGTTTTCAATATTCTTCATAATTATTTATTTATTGTATCGAAAAATTTATTTAGGTGCTAGTATCTTAAGAACTTATAGTCTTCACTTTTCAAGCATTTCGCTTTTTGAATCGAGGTCGTTTAAGTATCAAATAAAATTTTTAATTAATTCGTTCGACATGTGTTGTGTTTGACATTGATATTATTTTATTTTTATTTTTTAATTATGTTAGGTGTGTTCTGCGCAGAAATAAATGGTTTTTCTTTCTTTCTTTTTGTTTTTTCATTATGTAGTGTCACGGAGTAGCATAATAAAGATTTATTCAATTGCTAAAAATACTTCTATCTAGGAAAGGACATAGCATTTTCCTCTGATGAAGATAAAATTGTAAATTCTATACGAATTAATGGTTTTAATATCAATGCGGGTTGGTAAATGTTAATAAAAATTTAATTTATTTTTGAACCTAGATTCCGCAGAAAGCCACCAGACGACGTTTTTAGAGAGTCTGATGAGACTGTCTGGAGGTGATGACGGGTACACGGATGATGAAATAGTTGAGGAACTACTGGTGATCATGGTGGCTGGTACTGATACCTCAGCAGTCGGAGCTGCCTTCGTATCTGTGGTTCTTTCCAGATACCCTGAAATACAGGAAAAAGTCTTTGAAGAGTGAGTTATCCATACTTATACGTTGATTGTATTATTAGCTACTACCCAGCAAACTTCGTACCGCCTAAATATTTTTTTCTAACCTTTTTGACCCTGGACTTCCACGAACATTTCAATACCGATCTCGAGTTCTAGCGAGACTAATGAATGTCAGAGAGAATTTTATTAATTTCCAAGTACTTTACAAGACGTCTGTTAACAATCTTTTTCAACACTTTCGAGAAGATCGGCAACAACGATATTGGTCTATACCTATTAAGTAAATTTGCTTCACCCCCTTTGCGTATTGGTACGACGACAGCTGTCTTCCAGTGTCTTATTGGTTTTAATACTCTTACTACATGGCAATATTCAACCACTCTCTCTTCTCAAGAAGGAAAAAAAGTGTATACCGACTATTTGTGATAAAAAAAAATCGTTCACATTTTTTATGTAAATCTAACACAATCTTTTAAAATAGCCCGTGCAAAACTACGGCAATAAGCTAGTGAATCGATGTAGAGAAAGTATGTTCATGAATTGTTAATGAACGTCACGCTTCTTGTTTAAAAAGAATGGGTTGATTGAATTGAATATAATTTTTATCAGCACCTAAAATATTAACGTTCATTTAAATAATTACACTAGCCATTCCCGCGACGATTACCCGCTCTGCTCGGCTCCTATTGATAGTAGCGTGAAGCGTTCCTCAACAAATGAACTATTCCACACAAAAATAATTGTTCGATTGAACCAGTTGTTTCGGACATTACGACGTTTAAATAAACAAACCAATTCTTCAGTTTTATAATTATAATAGTATTTAAGTAATTATAAGTACACAACTACTTACTGAAATAGATAAACTTCAACAACAGGTTGCAAGAAGTATTCGGTGACTCCGACAGGGCGGCAACCTTCGAGGACCTTCCTCGGCTGAAGTACCTTGATGCAGTGATCAAGGAGACACTACGATTGTACGCACCAGTACCAGTGATGACCAGAAAAATAGAAAAAGATCTTCATTTACGTAAGTTTTTTTAAAGCATTACATTATTTTCTAATTTTTGACATCCTAATATAAAGGTCCTTTTAGTTATAATAATTATGTACGCCTATTGAGTAACTTTCTGCGTGTACAATAGTCATAATAGGACTTAATGAATAATACTTGGTAAATAGAAAACCTTTGTTTGAAATCAGTCCAAAATTCAAAAGATCTTTGCTAAGCGACATTGAACCCACCTTTCACATTATTTACAACTAGCTTTTATACCCGCGGCTTCGCTCGCGTCACAAAAGGATAAAAAGCCAATGTGACATATACCAATACACACAGCGCCATCTATACCAATACTTTTGTTTTCCCTCGGGAATACCAAATTTTTCCGAGATAAAAAGTACCCTATTATTTAATCCGGACTTACAACTTCAAAAATTCAAAGCAATCGGTTTAATAGTTACGGCGTGAAAGCGGAACAAACAAACAAACTCACTTTCCGATTTATAATATTAGTAAGGATTTCAAGATCAATAATTATTTTTGCATATTCTGTTTTGGTTTTTAGAGTTTTCGTTGGTAGCTCCAAGTATTATTATCGGAGAATTGTTTACCGAGAAAGACAGATAAATTGAACCAATGCTTAAACTGTCAAACACCAAGCGGTCACCGGTGACCGCAACCTATTGTTCTATAATTGTGTCTATAATGACGGTACTCGACGAGTTAAATCCCTTGAAAGTTTGATCCCCAATTCTTTGCTTAAATAAGGGTCAAGCCGGTGTAATTTTTTTTTTATGTGATAAGCCGGTAAACGAGCAGACGGATCACCTGATGTTAAGCAATTGGCGCCGCCCATGGACACCTAGAACTCCAAAGGCGTTACAAGTACGTTACCGGCCTTGTGGGATTAGGAATTTGAGGATTGTTGGGATTCAAGGATTGGGTAAAGGGGGGGGGGGCGTAATTGGGCCTCCGATAACGATAAGTTTCATGATTATGGTGAACATTTGTTAACAAAACTTTTCCATCTTTTTAGCCTGTGGTATAAAGCTGGTGCCTGGCACCGGTGTCATGATAAACATTTGGGCTATGCACCGCAACCCTCGCTACTGGGGAGACGACGTGGAACAGTTCCGACCTGAACGGTTCATTGACGCACAACCCACACATCCCGCTGTCTATATGCCATTCAGCTATGGACCTAGAAACTGTGTTGGTAAGTCTTAAAATGTAACAGGAGCCGCTAGATGCAGGTCGCTACCAACCGGCCAATCTGGAACTTATTGGAGGAGTCCTATGTTCAGCAGTGGACCTCGTTTGGTCGATATAATGAATTTCAATTTATACAGCGCTACAAATATGAAGACAGACTTTAAGATTTAAAGTTTTAGTTAAACATCTCTTGTAATTTGGGGTTAGCACTACGTTAGTAGAGAATAAAATAGAACTTTAAGCTAAGAAAGGAGGCGAAGGTCTCAGTTTGATTGTATATATGTTTGTCGATTATCTCGCGATTAGCTGAACCTATTTTGATGCGGTTTTCAGCAAAGTGTATGTTAAACTTAGGAGAAGATTTTAGTATATTATAATTTAGTATACTAATTATTTTAGTATATTAAGTCTTTGACTGCCGGCAGAAAACTGTTGAAGGCAAATCCTCCGCCAACGTAGGTCACTGGTGACCTACGTGGCAGTTAACGTGTTAATCAACCGACTTTAAAAAATGAGGGCTTTGAAATTCGTTTTTAAACATAGTTTTTAAAATAATTACATTACAGGTTATCAATACGCCATGATGTCAATGAAGACGATGTTATCAACAGTACTGAGGCGGTTCAAGTTCCTGCCAGCCACCAAACCTAACAAAAATGCTGAGTTCCCACCACTGCGCCTCAAATTCGATATCATGATGAAAGATGAAGATGGTTTCCAAATATGTGTCAAGCCTCGATCCAAAGTGGCTTAAATAAAGTATTTTTAATATAAGTAAAGAAATATGCTAAAAATTTTCATTTTCGTTGTCTATTTATTGAAAAACTTAATAGTTTTACTAGTATTTTCTCCTGTGCCGTGTGTGGTGGTGGTTTCCAAACATACAAGTTTACATACCCCTGACACGCGTTCGGCACTCTGATTGGCCGGTGCCAATGAAGCAACCAATCAGAGCGCCGAACGCGTACTCGTTTCGAATACTTTAAACGTACATAAAACAAACCCGTGTTAAGGCCTCTGGTGAAATGTAACACAGGTCCTTTATAAGACACTAGCCTCTACGACTATAACACCATAATAATTTGTAAATTCAGTGTGAACAACAATTATTATTGTAAGACTAGTGTTCTTTTCTTATAGCTCTATAAGCTGGGATGTGGAAGTTAAATACATAATATGATATTAATTTTATACATTTTGGTTTGCTAATAAGATAATGTATGTATTTGTCGGATTGTCTACAGCCTCTCCCAGATAAGAGATCCACTCTACTGCTTCATTGGGGTTGTTTTTGGTTATTCGATAATTTATAAATAAACCCATGAACTTGCACTTGATATACATCTACATACCTAGTATAAAACAAAGTCGCTACCCGCCGCCTGTCCCTATGTATGCTTAGTCTTCAATCTTTAAAACTACACAACGGATTTTGATACTGTTTTTATATACATAGAGTGATTCTTAAGGAAGGTTGATATGTGTAATACATGCATATTGCACCCGTGCGAAGCCGGGGCGGGTCGCTAGTATAGTAATAAACCTAATAGTCAATGTAATGTTTGCGGGGATCATTTACATAGGATATATATTTTTTTTTTATTTAGAAATTAAAGTGAATTTACTGTATGATAATTTTATTAAATTGTAATTGATACTATTAAAATGTATTACTATGCGCTGTGTTATCTTTATTAATAAAAATGTAAACAATAATGAATAATGTATTTTTTTTACTTTTTATGTATGATATTCGATATTCCCAAGATAATAATAGTAGATAGATAATAAACGTCGTGGTGGCCCGGAGGTTTAAGACGCCCACTTCTCATGCATGAGGGTGCGGGTTCGAAACCTACTAACGGCAAGTACCAATGTGACTTTTTCCGAGTTATATGTACTCTCTAAGATTATTTAGACACCACTGACAAACGGTGAAGGAAAAACATCGTGAGGAAACCTGGACTTATAATTTCTAATTATAAGTTTGAAATCGCCAACCCGCA